CTCCTCTAACTTAATTACATCTTGTCTGAAACAAGGATTCTTTCATACAGTTCTGGGAAGTATTGTGTTATCTTCATTGCCAAGTTAGATAGTTAGACCCTTATGCTGAAGAAAGTTAGCCAGTATTTTAAGATCAATGCTACCATACTCTCAACGAAGTGCAAGGACATAGAGCTATAATACTTTTTATTCAAGCCTTCAGAAAACTTGGATATAGTTTTCAGTGCCTTCAAGTACTCATACTGTCAATGTTATGTTAAGTGGGGAAAAAGGAATAGTTCCCGACTTCCAATTTAGAGCTATGAATCCAACGGACAGAATATTAAAATACAAAACCAGTGGAACCATCCTCTTGTGAAGTCATATTTTTTTAAAAGGACAACTTTACTGTGGAAAAGATCCTGCAAGGTCCTGAGTACTCTCTCTCTAAGCAGGGGGCCATCATTACTGAAAATGAAAGTCGCACATTGCAATACATGAAAACAATTTAGTACATCCATTCAACTTCATTACATGCTCAGTTTCACTATATCTGACTTCTCTATAAGTGGGTTCCCAATATCTATGTAAATCTCTCTCTCTCTCTCTCTCTCTCTCTCTCTCTCCACCTACTCACACAGACACTAATGCCTTTATTAACATGTATTAAAAGCTAAAACCACAAGACATGCATCAGAGGAAAACAGTAAAGAATCTTCACACCAGTGTAAGGTTATCTGATCAGGCCCAGTTTCCAATTATACAATAGAGGTGGGATATGATATTTGCTGATTAAATACATATATTTTCCAAATAAATCAATACCCAAATTATCCATTTTAATAATGGATTGATCCATCAGTATTCATATATTTTTAAGACTAGTAAAACCTGGTGTCTAAGGGTCAAGATGTTCAAATAGGGGTGTGTGGAGTTAAGACTTTTGCATCTAGATTTAGGCACCTTAGCTGGCTTGGTTTTCAGACGTGCTGAGCACCCAGAAGCTCCCATTGGAATCACTGGGTATTCAGCCCTTTTAAAAATCAGGCAATTTATTTAAGTGCCTAAGCCTGGATTTAGGACTCTAGTTTTAATCACTCGAAAGGCAGAGAATCTTGTCCAAGATTTCCCCTGGAAATATATCCACCTTCCAGCCTGGGCTCTGGAGAAGGGGTTGCAAATCAGGGCCCGGCTGATGTGTAGTGGGGAAGCTTGTACAAGCCTGAATCTAGCGAGAATGATTAATTTCTCATTTGTATGGGTACTGCCATTAACCACAAAACGACATGGGCAAAACAAAGACGAAAATCTCAAGCCAAAAATGTGTTATTGCCACCGGGCAGCTCCTGGAACTAAATTGCACGAAACAGAAATGGATCTTCGTCCTATCTAGTATCTTCAAATCAGTTTCCTCCCCCACGCCCTAGGTCTGCACAAGCGACAATCAGCTGAAACTTTAAAAAAAAAGCTTTTATTAATTACTGGTAATTGCTTATTTTACATATTGTTATTGATAGGGTTGTGTTGAAAGTAGCTGATTATATGTAAAGGATAAGGACGAAAAATGTCTGCCCGGGCACCTAAATCTCTAGACGAGAGAACCTGAGCTCAGACCACACGTATGAGACCTTGCCAAACGTTTCAAAACTGAATAGTCATTGGGTTGGCAGATAATTCAGAAACTATTTGTATGAGCTGTTTATCAAATTATTAACTGCACAGATGTTGTTTGGTTGAAGAGCAGCTGAACCTTCTCTCTGCCAGCCGTGGAGACAAAGGTCTGCAGGAATAATTGGAGATGTGCATGGAATATTAAATTAATTTACTGCTCTTAATTCTTATGCAAATCCTGACCTCTGATAGAGCCTATCAATTACCCTGCATACAGGGGAAAGAAAGGAGAACAGTTTCTTTCTTTCTTTTTTCCCTCCCCCTTTTCTTCCCCCCCTAAAAATAAATCAATCGGGCAAGGAAATATTTTGGAATAAAGCCACGAAGAAGGAGAAGCGAAGAACTGGTATTATTTATTTAATTGAGTCTCCAAGTTGCAATGCTGTCCTTTGGGAATAAAGGCACGTTTTAAAAAAGCCGGGGGGGGGGGTGTTTGGAAATGGAGGGCAAACGGAGCAGAAATAGCTGCACATCTGTGAACAGGGCGGGGAGAGGCCAGACTTGTCCAGTGCCACGTTCGTTTTCAAAGATAAGGTAGAAGTGGGACGAGCAGCCCGGATTGTGTGGGGTTGGAAGTGGGGGTGCACAGCCAGCTTGATGGGGAGGTGTGTGTTGGCTTGTCGCCAGAAGCGGGCCCCCCACCCTCAGACATCAGCGGGCCTGTTGGGCACAACCAGATCAGGAACAGGCCCTGTTTCCATTCGGGTCGCCTTTAGTATAATCCCACGTAGCGGAAGGGTTGGGAGGCTGCTCACTGGGGGGTGGGGTGGGGTGGGGGGGTTTAGATGCTGACCTTTTGTTGGGGTATCTTGATTTCCTCAGAAGGATTTTGCCCTGTCAGAACTGGGCCTGATTTCAAAGCCCGGTCCGTGGGGCGTCAATGACTGGCAGAAGCCCAGGCAGGAGGGAGAGCGGTGGAATCGGGTCCTTGTTCAAAAGAGCCAGTTTTCCAAGAGTGAGAAATGACCTGGCCTTGGGCATCTGAATGGGGGGACGGTGTAGTGGGGGGGGGGCGTTGGTCAGACAAAGTTTTTTTAAAAAAGACTCTGGTCTCTATTCGTTCGACATATTTTCTGGCAGGGGTAAATAAATCGGGGGGCTGAGGCGCTCGGGCCGACCCCCTGAGAGGCCGCGGCAGGGACAGGCTGCTCCCGGCTCCTCTGGCCACATCCCGAGCTCCCTGCGCCGCCCCGGGCAAACGCCCTGGAACAAGAGCGATTGATCACCCCGCCGGGAGCAAGGGGATTTACCCCGCTCCAAATAGCCTCCTGGGGAGACGCGGAATGGGGTGATTAGCATGAGAAAAGCGGAGCAAAACTCCACAGTTCAACAGCTAAAGAGCAAGTTGATGGGGCTGGGGCGGGGAAATTACTCGGTCAGCCTCGCTCGGAGGAGACCAGCTCGGCCGGGCAGGCCAGCCCCGGCACCAAACACGGCGGGCTCCCCGAGAGAGGGACCCCAGGACCTGCCCAGCCAGAACAGCGCCGCAGGCAAAGGTGCTTCGGACACGGGGGCGGGTTTTGATATGAAAAAACGTCCACGGATTTCTCCCACCTCCAGCAGCCAGTCTGCCAGGAGCTCGTCGGTGCAACCTAGAAAACAAGCCCCCAAAGCGGCTCTTACAAAACCTCCTAAGTCACTTCTCAAAAGACCAAAACAAGCTGCCTGGGTCTCCTTCGTAACCCCCTTAGCACGCGCTGGCTGTATTTTTTTCGGGAAAAAGACATGCCCCATCTGTTAACCGCTGTCATACGTCGTGCCAGCCGGCCAACACCTGCCCCGTCGACTGGCCCCTATTCTTACAGCAAATGCCCCTGTCCCTTGTGCAGGTGTTTGGAAATGGCCAGCAGCTCTCAGTTATTGTCCCATTCCCTCCATCAGATCTCCCCAATGAGGTGTCTGCGTGAAAGGTGTCTACACGCAACCCTGTGGCGTTTAAATGAGATCCCCTGCGCCTTTTAGGTTGCGCGTGTATTTCAGAACAGCAACACCTTTACCTGCGCACACACGCTTAGTCTCACAATCACGGTCATTTCATTTAACAATTCTATTTTGAATGATGCCCAGAATGCAACTGGCTCCAGTTAACGCTGGATCTTTTTTTTAACAGATCCCCGAGGACAGAGCTTTGTTACAACTGGAAGAAAAGGGAGCTCGCCTCACAATCACATGTGGGCTTCTTTTCTACTTGCTTTGGGAACAGCTTGCACTGACCTAAGCCTGCGTCCCCGAGACCGGTTTCCTAAAGGTGAAAATGATTCCCGGTGGCTCTCTAGCGTGTTTATCTACAAACGTCACGGTGCAGGGTAGCCATGCGACCTGCCATCTCTGCCCCAGAAGTGGCTGAAGGCGAAAACAGATCAAGAATGAGTTACGTATTAGCAGAGTAGTGTGGGGAAATCTGCCCTATGTGGTTCATTCAGAGATTAGCGCTTAGTTCCCCTATGTAAAAAAGATTGTTTGTGGTCAGCATTTTCGGGGTTGAGCCTGCATTCTGCTTGGGTTTACACGGAACGGATACGCTGCGGAAGGTTGGCTTCGAATGAAGTTCCGAATCGTAAAGCATTTACCCTGAAAAATCCGTCTACTTTCATGATCTCTATCAGAGCACCCCCCAAGTGTTTACACCTAAATAGCAATAACTCTCTTTCTCTCTCTCCACTTTCTCAGCCTGGAGAATAAATTGCTTTCAGATGAAAATGACCAACCCCAATTAAAAACAAACAAACAAACAAACAAACAAACAATCCCGCACACCTGTTTGAATTCAGACTAAATTGGAAAGACTAAAGGTAAGGTTCACTGTGCTATATATTTTCAATGGCCTTTTGCATGCAAACAATACACTGGAGTTTCTAATCTCAGGATCTTCTGACCACACTGGATTGTTATTTTTTTAATTCCTGTTAATTAAGTGAGTTGCACACTCTTTAAGAATGACGTTTCTCTGCTCCCAGTCTTTCCTGGGCTTATTTCTATGAAGGAGAACCAGCTGTTCCCAACTTTGGGCTAAATCTTAAAGTTCTTAGGGCCTGATCCCAAACCCATGGTAGTCAGTGCAAAAAGTCCTGTTGACTTCAGTACATTTTGGATCAGTCTCTTAGTGGATAGAGGTTTTTGCTTGAGCAAGGACTGCAGGATCGGGGCCTTTAACGATTCTGAAGATTCATTCTCACCTCCCACCCGCATTTTTTGAGCATTTTCCTACCTGATATTTAAATGCCCCATTTTTACCCAAAGGAAATTTGGTCAGAGAATCCACAAGGGTTTTAGAGAGCTGAAAATCCAAACTCTACCTAATCTCCCAAAACACTATTTGGGCCGAAATTAATAAGAAATGTTATAGGATGAGTTCACCTAGATATCTAAAGTCCTATTAAATGTTTAGAGATTCCCTCCGTACACAGCCCATCCTTGTAATTTTCAATTATCCAGCCAATCTAATTAGTAATCCGAGGATGACATTAATACAAATATAATGAAGTCTGTGATGGCCAGATTAGCAGAGCAGGCACTGATAGCCTTAAAGGAACATTACACCTTGGCACGTATGTAATCAATGCAACAAAGGGTAAAATCTTGCTTAAAAAAAAAAAAAAACCCTCTAGCAAAATCGCGCACATCAGGCTTAGCGGTTCAAGTGCCAATTAACAAATTCAGCGCATTGCTGAGCGCTGCTTATCTGCCTCGAAAATGCCAGGGACTGCAGTTTGTGCAGGAAACTTCGCGTGTCTCGCTCCCTCTCCCAAGACTTTGCAATGAGAAGAGAGGCAGAAAGAAGAAGGAGAGAGACTGCGGCTCCCTTCGCGGGACTCGGTGGGGTGCGAGTCTCCGATTCAAACGCAGCCACACAATGAAACAGAACAAGCCCCCCCACCCCGCCCCGCACACACACGCAGGCTGGAAAGGAGCCCCGCGGAAGCCGGAGGGAACCCGTGGTATGTGTCTATCCGAATCGAAGTCCAGAGAACCAGGACTGGAAGGGGGAGGAGAGAAAGGGGGATGGGGAGGGAGCCGGGGAGCAAGTCCCAGATATTACAGCGCCTAGCAAGCCCTGCGCTCGGCATTGCCATAAGCAGTGAGTTGGCCACTAAAAGCTACCGCCTGGCTTTGATTGAAAGTTCACTTTCTTTTGTAAATTTCAGCTTGCAAGAGCCAGTGTCCGAACCTGCCAACAACCCGACCGTGTCTTTGCGGAGGGCCCTGTAATGTGTCCGTGTGTCTGATTTGATCGCTTCGGTTCTTTCCTATCTAGATTTTTGTAAAGTTATGCCCGAGTCACATAATATTGCTCTGTCTCCCCCTCCTCCCCCAAAATCCCGATGAGTAGCGTGGCAATTTATTCCAATGGGTGGTTTTTAAGAAGCTGGCAATTTGAGACGGCTGGGTGTTATTTAGTGCAATATGAAATCAAATGATCCTATTTCTCAAATAACAGTGTCTGTGAGGAGAAGTGAATACTCTGAAAGGGTAATTGTCTCCTGATGATATTTCCATTATACCCAATCTTGGCCTAAATGGTATTCAGCGGATGGGCTGAAAGCACAAGGGTGAAATCAATAATAATAATAATTAATATAAAAAACCCTCTGCATTTTAGCAAGTTAAACTGATTCCTTGCGTTCTGTACACTGCCCTCAGGGCTCTCCTCCTAAACCCAGCTGAACTTGTTCAACTAAAGTAAACCTGCCGCTTTTGCTTTTAATGGAGGAACGAAACTAAACTTTTCTCTTTCTTCCTTAGAAGTTTTCAGACTTTTTCTTTTATTATTATTATTATTTATTTATTATTAATTTGAAAGTTGCCACGACGGTTGTAACTTTCCCACTATAGCAGGAGATGGGAACAATGGGGATTCAGTTGATAAGTTGGTCAAGCAAAGGTTTCAGGTAAATATAACAGGAGAGAAAAGCCTTTCTTTCTTAGCCGCATAATAGTTGTCTATGACTTTCCAAATCAGTTTCACTGAATGCTACATTTGTGGCTTGAACGTGCAGTTTCCTTCTGTGCGCCGAACATTGTTTGCGCAATGTTACACCTTTGATCGATAACATTATGTTCTGTATTTTTCAATGTGAATTTTGTGGCCCAGCCGCTCGCTTTAGACAGATGCTCTGTAGTGGTTGTCCTATGTTTCTGCTTGGTCTCTCTCACACCTACAAACACACACAGGAGCGTGAGCACAGAGTTTAAAGAACCATAGGGCCCCATAATAACAAAAAAGGTCGCTCTCTAGAAGCACGTTTGTTAGCTAGCCCTGGCTAGGTAGATATCACGTCTACACCTTTGCACACAGTTTGTTACATTCAAGTGGGTTTTGTCTCTGTCGAGCTATTCTTTAAGCATTGTGCCTGCCACAAAAGAAATTACAATTTAGCCTGCGAGAGCAGCTAATCCGTCGGAAGGCTGTTTGTTATGAAAACTGACACAATTCACCCGTAAGGCAGCGCCTTGCGTTTCAGATCTCGTTGCTAAACAGGAACCAAGCCGGAGTCAAGGTAAGGGGCTGGGTTCCGGGGAGACGCAGTGAGGAGCTCTCCACCTTTTCAGCAGCACCGGGGGTTTACACACAGAACATGCTTCTGGGAAATGAGTGAAGCATCGGCGACTTCTCTGTCCTTTCAAATGTTCAGACAGCTTTTCTTTTTTTTCTTTTCTTTTCTTCCGAGAGATTTGTCCCTTTGAAATGTTAGTGACTTTAATTCCATGGACAGTTTAGCTACTTTTGACTGAAAACAGCAGACAATTAAACAATCGCCTGAAATTAGACAAACCAGGCTGAATCCAGACCGTACAAATCACTCCCGGTTTGTTTTTCTAACAGCTCTTTGGGGATGGAGACTGAAGGTTTCCCTGCCCTGTAGTGAGTGGTCTGTGTGTGAACGCTTATTTTCTTACTGTTACTGAAAATAATTTACCCTTTTATCCGCTTAAAGCGCCAGCAAATCTTGTATACTAGGGGATACAGGGAGGGTTATATTTATTTGAAAGCTAAAGATCAGTTTAAATATATCGTCTCGTTCTTTTTGTAACTATGCTTAGCTATTGTCCCTTGACAACTCTCTCACTATACATATATGCCCGGATCAGGAAGAGAAAGATAAGAAACTGACCGATTCTTTATCATTTCCCCCCTGAAAAACACAGCTTGACTTTACACGTGTGTTTCCATGCCTGGGTGCCCTCGGATTTTCACCCCTTAAATGTCAGAGCGGTGAAAGGAGGTCTTGAACTCGACTAGTTCCCAAGTTGTATATCCTAAATCAAGCAATCAACCGACGGCAAACTTCTCCCCCAGTCGTTGGGGTCTCATAAGAGGGTGACTCCGGTTATTCATAGGCATTGTTGATTATAGTCACTCAATATCACTTGAAAAGCAGCAGGGACTAAACCAGCTCGCTGCATTATTTGGCAAAGCTGTCTCTTTTGCTGGAATGGTTCTGCCTTTTGAATGTTAATTTCTTAAATGCAGTGATTTTAAATGGGAGGGAACCTTGCTCTCTTTCCTTATTATGTAGCGTCTCATTATGTCCCACCCCGGCTGCCTGGCTGAAATGATAAAATTGCTAGACTAAAATCAATGAATGGAACCGACCATAAAGAGAGAAACACTGTTACCCAGAAACTGCAAGGAAAAAGAACCAGACCTACCTCCGTGCGCGCATACCTGAATAGCTACCGGGCGGCTGAGGGGAAGTCCACAGCAAGGATATTTTAATAGGAGGTGAGAGATGTTTGCAGCTTTCTAAATATCTGGCGCACAAATTTCTTCAGGGAAAGAGGCGGGTATAGCAGACTATTTACTGCCCCCCCCCTTCCCAGAAAACGAGCAAGATGGAATGATTAAATGGCTAGGTTGCATTTTTCAGTAATCACCATTACAACAGAAAGAAAGGATTAAAACGCTAGCGTCTTGTAGGCTTTATTACGCGCCGAGAAATATCAGGGGTGCAAACCCAGGATTTGCTACGAAGGACTAAAGCGTTTTATAAAGATCTATTTCCCCCCTCCCCATGGTGGGGGTGGGGGTTTCTTTTTAGAATTCTAAATCTGTAGGGAGCAAGTCTTTTAATTTGGCAGTTTGCATCGACCCATAACAACAGGGATTCCTCTGCTAGTGGAAAGGGGGTTCTGGAGCAAAACCACCAGCAGCCTTTGCAAAGCCTAAAATTCGTCGAACCCGCCTGCACTCCCTTAAAACGCGTATGTGAGAGGCGAAATCGGACCGAAGTTACAAAGACAGTGTAGAAGTGGGGCTGGTTTTTGTGGTGTGTGTGTGTGTGTGTGTGTTTACTCTACAAGCACGGTCACTTGTAGAGGGATTTATGCCAAGAGCGGCCTGGGTTAGTAAAATACAAAGCCGAAGAAACCTGAATAGCCGAATGAAAAGGGCAGTGCAGGCCCTGTCTGAAAACTTCAAGGGGCATGAAATTACTTCAGGGAAGAGGCCACGATCCAGCCATTCCTTCTTCGCCAGCTAGCCGGAGAGTCCCTGGAATTAAATACCCTTGCAATAGGCATTTTAAGCTCCGCATTTTTTCTTCCAGTGGCCCCGTTTGTACTCCCTACAGAGGCCTCGCTGGCTAGTTGAGCTTAAGATTTGCCAAGGGCTGAGCCTGGGGGCTTTAATCAATGAGGAGGTCGCCGCAGGATGACCCCATGGAAACCACAAACCTTGCCCGCCTCCAGGGCCAGAGAACCTGGCTGCGTCTAGAGTCCAGCAACCAGAGATTTCATTTGCCCTGGGGGTCTCTATCCAGCTGGCTCCAGAGCCTCGATTTCCATATTTTTCATCTAGGAATAATTGAATGATTAATTGGTATTAAACGATCAGCCGTTTAATTAATCACCACGCTCTTTAGCGCGAATCCATAGGCTTCTCTGCTGCGTGGGGAACCGAAGCTATTTTGTTGCCACCTTTAGAGAACCTGACACCAGAACCCAAATCATGAGAGTCAAACACTTCTTCTCCCAAGGGAACACGAGCTTTTTAACCTCTTGGGTTTTATTTATTGTTTGTTTGTTTTTATTTATTCAACCCACCCTTTTTTGTTGTTGTTGTTGAGATTCCTTTGCCATTCCTATTGTGTCCTTCACCTTGGCTAGTCCCCCCCCCCCCCCCCAGGTAAAAAACAAACCGCCTAAATATTCGGATTTATGGAATTATTTCAAAGAAGTCCCGCGGGGGGGGGAAGCATTTTAAAATGCTAAGGCCCTATTGTTCAGAAACAAGAATAGCTTCCTTTGCATGTTAGGCAGAACCCACCTGAATGGAATTACCCAAATGTACATATCTATTAAAGTAATGGACATATTTATATGTCCAGTGTGTATCAATAGATCTACAGGGCAAATTCTTTATTCACCTAAATAGTCCCATTGACTTTTAAATGAATAAGGGCTGTAGGACTGAGCCTTAGAGACATCAGTGATGTAGGATGGTCAGATAAAAGAACATTGGAAATATACTATTAACAGAACCTAGAACAAACACTGCACTTGATTCTCATAAACTCCATGTTCCAAGTGCATGCTCCCCACCTAAATTTGCAGCATTCTGTTCTTCCCCTCTGAGCATAGCTTGAGGATTCCTGCCTTATACTTCCTAGGTCTCTCCACCCCTAACTTTTGATTGTAGTGCATGCAGTCACACCTTGGCCATGTACTGCCATCAGTTAACAACACAGGAAAAAAACCAGCTGTTCCTGATAAATCGGTAATTAATTTGTATTTATTGGGGGAGTGGGGAGTGTCACAGCATTTCTAGCCAAGAAGAAGCCACTATCCTGTCAGAATATACATCTTTTTGTTTTTATTTTAGTCTATTCTCCATATTTTTAAATATTGTTATGTACATAGAAGGGGCAAAGTTCTCATTCCCTTATTCACGTGGGCAGTCTTATTGGAATCGGTGGAAATATTAATGAGAAGGGCAAGCAGAGTCTGGTCTATAAAATTAAAAAATAAAAAGCCTTTGGACAAGTCAGAAACCAATTTGCTTTGATGCATAAGCTCTACGTCCAAAAATGTGAAAAGGCAGTATTTTGATGCACCCACAAGAAAGACTTGCTTATCAAAAGTTTCTGATCTGCTACCAAAGGCTACATTTATTTTTCTCCATTTTAATTAATTAATTTATTTATTTGCTTTTGTTGAAAACAAGAAATCTGAATGCCAGATTCATTTAGGGAGAACTGAACTGTCATTTATATACATTCTAGTGGAAATGACTGCTCTCAGGAAGACTGAGAACTACACAAAAGAACTTCCACTACACAACCACACACTCACTCTTTTCAGGGGTTTATAATTTTCTCAATTAAGTTCCCTTAGGATTAATTTTTTCCCCCATGCTTGATCTCCACCAAGAGGTAATATATAACTTAGCACAAACCATTCTGCTGCTTTTGAGTTCTGCATGTTTTAAAGAATATCCTTGTCCCATATGTTCCAGTCAAATAATTTGTACGCATGTAACTCAGTCCTCAACAATTTTGTCCAGAATTAGCTTGCTTTGTAGATCTCACTGAGCTCTTAAAACAAGCTGCGTTTGAAGAAAATTGGTTTAGTAGTTTTGAAGTTGTGAGCCCTAGAATTGTTTTTACATATGCACAGTAGTATGGGTTGTTTAAAACCGTACAATGATGGATATGAACTAGTGCAGCAGGCCTCATTTAGTTTCTGTGGCCAGTATAACATGGCTTTGGACACGGGTTCTGGGTGGGTGCAATCCTGGCTGGGTGAAATCCTGGCTCCATTGAAGTCAATGGGAGTTTTGCCATTGACTTCAGTGGGGTCAGGATTTCATCGCATCTCTTCAGAGCATCATTTCCTGTTGCGAGGATGTTAGAAAGCTGGCTGGTCTTATAAAAGCTTTAGGAAGTTTGGGATGTGGTAAAAATCCACAGGAGAAGAGGTGGTGGCAAGTTCCTAGAGGCCCCATGGCGCACATGAATTGGGGTCATTTTTGGTCTAGTGCTATCTCTCATTGACTAGCCATGTTTGTATACTTTACAAACATTATTTAATCAGACCTTGCAATGCTCATGCAAAGTAGGTAAATATCATTATCTCAATTTTACAGATGGGAAAAACCGAGTCTCCAGGTATGTCTATGTTTAAACCGCTCCAGTGGCACTGCTCCAGCTTCAATGTAGACATCGCCTATGCTGATGAGAGGGGTTCTCCTGTCGGAGCAGGTGTTCCACTTCCCCGAGAGGCAGTAGCTAGGTCTACAGAAGAATTATTCCGTTGACCTTCACTCTCTAACACAGTGGGTTAGATCAGCATAGCTCTCTCTCTTAGGGGTATGGATTTCTCAGAGAGATGTAACTATGCCAGGATAGACCAGCCCTCAAGTACTTGCCCAAAGCAATTGGCAGTCCAACACGGGTCTAGAAATTAGGTCTCTTGACTCTTAACCCTATGTCTAATCCACCCAGCCACACTGCTATCCAGGCAAATTACTCAGGCCAAACTTTTCAGAAGTGGCCATTAACTTTGACATGTTTCGGAGCAGCAGCCGTGTTAGTCTGTATTCGCAAAAAGAACAGGAGTACTTGTGGCACCTTAGAGACTAACCAATTTATTTGAGCATAAGCTTTCATGAGCTACATCCGATGAAGTGAGCTGTAGCTCACGAAAGCTTATGCTCAAATAAATTGGTTAGTCTCTAAGGTGCCACACTAACTTTGAGTGCCTCAGGGTTTTTGTGGGTGGTTTTTGTTTTTGTTTTTTTAACTATTTGTTTCTGAAGTTTTAACATGTTTACAAATCCTTGCCAAGTAAATATTGGAAACAAAACAATGCTTACAACAGTGAGCTTTTGTATACAGGAATATCGTCATCTAATCTTTCTATTTAACAGGGTGTTACCATATTCCAGAGAGAGCATCATTGAACACCTGTGGTGTTTTTAGTGATTTTATTAAATGGAATGAAAGCTCTACATATACATTTTTAACAGACCAGACATGTCTATCAAATGTCAATATTCAAAAATATTGGACAACAGTGCTGGGTTTTGTTTGTTTGCAGGTGAATGTACTTTGTCTGAGTGTTGAATAAAATGTAACCAAATGTCTAAGAATCTATCTGTCCTCTGTTTTTTTTAGGTGAGTACGTAACCGGTGTGTTGTCTTTCCCCCCCCCTAACTACAACTTCCCTTTTTTAAAAACCAGTCCTCTACGGTTGGGCTATCTTTCTTTTTGCAGTGCGAAGCTATTCTCTTTGTGTGTGACCATTTACACTAGGAACCCCGAGGAGGATTACAAAAACATCATTTGCTAATAAGTATCCAATAAGCTGTGATATTTGGTTACAGATTGCCCCCTCAATACACTATCAGGACTGGACATGTCCACCCTAGATGCATAAAATCTCCTCTTGTGTGTCTCAGGCTTTAGGTGCCCAACCAGAGGCATGTCTATGTCTCAAAAGATGAGCACCTAAAAGCTGTAGCAGCTAAAATGAGTGACGTTTTTGACAATGTTGGCCTTAACTTCTCTACACGTGTTTTTTCTTTCCTTATTATGGGCATAGTGTCCACTCACCTGACTGAGTTAGCCACCCATTGCCAGGGTTGCTTAATACGAAGCTGTCACTCTCTTTGCTGGCATTTTCATACATCGTTATGGGGAAGGAAAACTCTCCTCCCAGCAAATATTTGAAATTATCACATCAATAATGCTACACATGGGAGCACATTCATTCGGGTCTGCTGTGTGGGAGGAAGTTTGGGCAGGGACAAGGGTCATTAGCAGCCGAGGGCCAGTCTGTGTGCTCACATGCAATTTCCAAAAATTACACAAGAAGAGACATTGGTGGCTGACCAGTTCCTTTCTGCTTGTTGGGCTTGTGGCATCTGATAAGGATGTCGATGTGGTGTTGCCATAAATATAAAGGGAAGGATAACAACCTCTATGTATGCAGTGATATAAAATCCCTCCTGGCCAGAAGGTTTA